TGTATTACAAAAATGTATAACAAAATTTTTTACAAAGAGAAAGCCAAAGGGCAAAATGGAAGCGCAATAGGTTGGAGGAGACCAAACATTTGGTGCAATTTGATGAATTATAATGCAATGATGTAAGGTTGAAGATGTCCCTAAATCCTAGAGAAATCCTTCAAGATCCTTGGGGAAACCAAGTCTGACGAAAACTACATCCAAGTATTCCATTCATAACCTAAGATAATGTCGCATAAACAAGCTTAGAGGTCTATCTTTTAGCCTATAGCAATAGGACCAAGGTGATTCAACAAGTTAAAGACCATTCTACTAGAAGTAACTTCAACCACAAAAGATTTGACAACTAATACGTTATTACTTCCAGTGAAGAGACTTAAAACTCTGAACTCGAAGGTAGAGGACAATTTTTATATAGAAATTCACTATATCAATACCTCATTCACGTAAGAATATAAAATCAGATAAAAGTCCATCACCATTTATATCACAGAATTAATTTAGTCCCAATATATAAGATTTTATTACAATTAACATCCACTAATTTTATACAAACGAAGTCTCCTTTAAATTCTTCGTGTATACCAGAGATAACATAAAAACTCGTATTAAATGTTTTCTTTGTTAGTATTATATACACCAACTCGAGTATTGGTGTTACAACTAGAAAGCTTTCCATTTCTTTTGCAGGCACGTAAACACACAACCTATGTGTCTTTGTGTAACTAAAGCAACCACATTAATTGTTTCTTCAAGCGTTTCCGTACTAACTACTAACCTAACGTGCTGGTTTTGGTGACATCATTAATTTCCAAAAACATAATCAATTAAATCCCATAAAATTGCATTGAGTAATGAGGATTCAATCAACTCGAAATTAATCAGATCCAAAAAAAATTATAATCTCTCATGCATGAACAGATCAATCGCATCAAATTACGACAATTGCTAAAAGAGTTGAGATAATATAACACGATTACAATTCATCTTTGCCATCAACAAAAACCCAATCCGTGATCCTCTTATTGTCGCAAGAGCTACGGCCAAAAATTGGTTCCTCACCACGTCATCCATTTCACCTAGAGATACCTGCAACCAAGAGCGTAATGATTTTCTTTCCATCCTGCGATCAATTGACATCTCTTAATTCCACATTTAATTATATATCAATCTCCACGCCCTAGTTTACAAGTATCTCTAGGGTAAAACAGGACGAATAATCATGAAAGCAATAATTGACAACAGTAGCGAGTGTTTCATTATTTAGTATCTTATTATGCGACGATAAAAGCATAAAAAACTAAAATAGCAGACAAATTAAACATGCATAGAAATGAAAACCCATTCTAATTATTGTCATCGTTGATCCTTTTGCTCGGTCCTGACGAAGGGACTATAGCTTTTGGAAGCATGGCTTTCACCGATAGCTCATTCAACATTCCAAACTTAATCCTGTCAACCTTAAACTCTGTCTTCTCAATCAATGGCTTGCTTGAGGAAAGTTGGCAAATCATTAAACAAATGAAAAGGAGTGTAATGAATTGATAGAGCCTGTTCGGTTTGTCCATTTGATAGATTTGAAAGAACTTAAAATGGTGTTTTTGGAGAGAATTTGATAGCGAGAAATAGGTCGATGATTTCTGGGCAAGAAACTGAAAGAAGTTTATCTCAAATGGGCTCTCTACTATGGGGGTGGCACTTCAATTGAATGTAAAATATATAGAATTTGGATCTATTGCCAAGTTATAAGTTTTGACTTATTCGGGGATGACGTTTTTGGTGGGGCCATCATTTGTTACATACGTCCAATACGTATTAAAATCCAACCATGCTTCGTTCACTCTATTAAATAAAAGTTTACGAGTCACATTGTTACCAGGGGCGGACCCAGATAAAATTTAGAGTGGGGGCGAGATCAGGGACGGAGCCAGCTTGTTGAAGTAGGGAGGGTCCAAAGTTGAAGGGGTGGTGCTTATGGGGGTTCGGGGGCATCGCTCCCGAAAAATTTTTTTGGGGAGTTGTT